TCACTGATGTGGGTCATCCTGTCCTGTGTCATTCTCCATGTTCTCCCACAAATGCTAGGTCAAGCAAAGACTTCCACCTGAAGAGGCAGCAGGATGGACTGTGGGGCTTAGATTCAGAAGAACCTGAGTTGAGATCATGCCTACTTCTGAGCTGCATGCCCATGGGCAAAGCACCTAATTTCTCCGAGTCTCAGTTTGCTCATTTATAAAATTCAGTCAATTAGTTAATAAACATTTAAGTGCCTATGACTATGCTAGCACTGAGGATACAAAAAACAGCAAAAGACAATGCCTGCCCTCAAGGAATTTACAATCTAATGGGGTAGACAACGTGCCAGCAACAAGATAGAAATAGGATAAATTGGAGATAATCAACAGAAGGAAGGCACTAGAATTAAAGGAGAGTGATGGGTGGAGGGGAGGGGGGATTCAGGAAAGGTTTCATAATAACAAAGAGTCATGCATCCAGAGTCAGAGGACCTGTGTTCAAATGTGAGCTCTTCCACTTAATACCTACATGACCACATTTTGTTCAATCATTTCAATTGTGTCTGACTCTTTGTGACCCCATTTGGGGTTTTCTTGGCACTGATACTGAAGTAGTTTGCCATTTCCTCCTCTAGCTCATTTTACTGATAAGGAAACTGAGGCAAACAGGGTTAAGTGACTTGTCCAAGGTCACACTGCTAGTAAGTGTCTGATTTGAACTCAGGTCTTCCTGATTCCAGGCCCAGTGCTCTATCCACTGAGCCACCTAGCTGCCCCTGTATGACCCTGTATGACCCACAGGCCATTTAACTTCTCTACAAACTTCATTTGCAAAATGAGAGGACTGCACTAGATGACCAGTAAGGTCCCCTCTAGCCCTAAATCTACAACCCTATATCATAAACAGGGAAAACTACAGCCCCAATCAGCAAATCAATTGTACAACCAACAGGAGAACTCAGGTTCTCTAACATGTTATCTGCTCTTTCCCCTACTCTATACCACACTTACACTGCATCATTCTTGCCACTCTCCAGCTCTTATCTTCTTCCAAGCTTTCACTCCTTCTCTTCCTCCAAAGGTCAGAGAATGTAAAGCTATACCAGAACCTAACGCACTTGAGTGATGCCCCCATGACACCTCAGAAAAAAGTTCTTGGAGAGCAGTTAAGGTGTTCATTTGATTTCTTTTTGGCAGACACCTCCTTCTGAGTGTATATCACCAATAATAACCTTAGCAATCCAAGATCAAGAGGTCTAATTTGGCTTCACACTGGAAGGTTGCTTACACTGTGGGCGCACACCTCAGTAACTTTAACTATAAAATGGGAACAATACCAGCATAATGAAAGCTGCACAAATGATGAGGTCTGAATGACTGTCGTAGAGTGAATTCTGAGTCAGGTATGGGCTAAATCAGGTGGCTTCTGAGGTCCCCTCCTTCCCATGAAGAAATCCAAAAGAATGCACCGTCAGGAGGTTGAGGCTTCCTCTCCAACTTGCACCCCGCCCTGCATGGGGTCTAAGCAAAAGTTGGATGACCACTTGTCAGGTCCCCCATACCTGGCAGGGTCTCATAGACAAAATTCCTATTCAAGTACAGGGTTAGACTGGACAAGGCTGAGGTCGCTTCCCATGCTGAGGTTCTGGGATTCTGCCATGTGCAACCTTTTTTTTTTTGTGGGTCAGATCTGATTTTAATACAGAAAGAGGGGCCCTTATTTAAAGAAAATAGGCGGCAAAGCATGGCGGCATACACCTGTGATCCCTGCTTGTAGGGGAGGCTAAAGTTTGTGAGTCAATTGCATTCAGGAGTTCTAAACTGCAAGAGTCTAAAGTAGATGGAGTGCCCACATTAAGTATGGCATCAAGATAGTGAGAAATCAGGCTTCGAAAGGAGAGGCAAACCAGCCCAGTTCAGACACAAGGGCAAAATTTTTCTGCTGATCAGCCGTGGGACTGGGTCATGAGTGACCACTGTATGCCCAGCCTGGACAAAATAGGGAAGGCCAGTCAAGAAAGAACGAAAGAAAGAAAGAAAGAAAGAACGAACGAACGAACGAAAGAAGAAAGAAGAAAGAAAGAAAGAAAGAAAGAAAGAAAGAAAGAAAGAAAGAGAAAGAGAGAGAGAGAGAAAGAAAAAGAAAGAAAGAAAGAAAGAAACAAACAAACAAACAAACAAACAAACAAACAAAGAAAAAAAAGGCAATGGATTCTTTTTTTCATAATGTGTATAAATAAGTGTTCCGGTAAGATGAGATTTTTCCCACATCAAGCTGCCTTAAGTCAGGGCCCACTGGCACCATTATGGCCAACCCACTGTGCTATTGTGTAGAACTTGATCATGAGAATGTCTGAAAAGAGAGAGAAGCAACAAAACCAGGGCTGGGCTGCTCCTCCATGGAAGCAGGTCCCACCCTGAGCACTGAAAGCACCTTCACCAACATGTCTCCTCTACATCAGTCTGAACACTACTCTTGCCCTGTTTTCTTTTAACAAAGAAAGTGAGGCAATGGGGAGGTGAAGCTTCCCTGCAGAGACTGAGGCATAGAATTCACATAGTCAGAAGACTGCTTAGAGATTGCTTTGATTCTTAACTATCTGTGGACAAATTCAAGGGAAATGATTATTAATAACCAATAATCTGGAGAGATCCAGAGTTCTCCCCTTCTTCTAAAAGTCCTGATTTTTAAAAGTTCAATCTCTTGAAGGACATTGCTGATAATGAGATTAGGCTAACCTTGTTCAAGACCCCACCCTGGTGGACAGCCATTGTGTTCTGCTCAGTCTTGGGTGGGGCATGCATTCTTTGAATAGACTGCCCAAGGCTAGGGGTGGTCTGGGTATAGGGATAAGTCTCTCAGTCCAAGGATGACATGATGTCAGTTCCTCAGTGAACACCTACTCTTCCAAGGGTATATATATATATATATATATATATATATATATATATATATATATATATATAAATAAACAGTATATAAACCCCATACCATGAGGGTCTTTAAGACGGTCTAAGAGAGACAGCCAAATGACCTTTTATTAATAATATGATGGCCTTATTAACAAAATGATTAAATTACACAGAAACTATGTCTCTGGAACCTTTTTAACTGTCACACTTTTGAATCATTCTTCCAGAGCTATTCTGTGGAGATAAAGAAAATCTTGCCCTTTGAAGCCACACCTGTTTTCTGTAGCAGCTCTAATTAAGCTATGCCTACATTTGTCAAGGTGTTTTTCACATAGATGGAGGCAGCTAGGGTGTAAATGGGATGAAGCTAGGTATTTCATCTAGTCCTTCAGTGTCAAAGGTCAAACATGGGAATACTATGAAAATGATTTGGAAAAGAATGTGAATGTGTTAGCTCTCTTTCTGGATCTCTAAAGCCCAGGCTTTTGTGTTTATAGGATAGAATCTTGGAGACACACTCTTTCTGAGAGTCCTTCTGCACTCTGAGTTGTAGGGAAATGGGGAATGAATATAAGGTTAGAGACTGATCCCTTAAAAAAAAAATCAATTTGGCCACCTACTATTAAAAAGAATTTGCTTTAATTACACAAGTAAACTCGCCACATTTAGCGAATAAAAGCAATATCTTATAAGCTCCTAAGGGGTAAGGATCTGTGCCATAATGGACTAAGAATATTATTTATGGAGCAACTAAATATTTTGGTCAGTTGCAAACAAAATACCACAGTGTGTTTTGCACTCAGTATTATCTACTTTTATTTTCTGTATGGATATTTAGAAATTCTTTTATATGAAAAAAATTGCTGATTTAAAATAGCCCATTTTAACAAAGTAACTATATTTCTTTTTAGAAGAATATTATTTTTCTATGTAAACTATTGTTTGGTGGCAGATTTTTTAAGAAGTATTATATTTAAAAGAATCTGTATCCATTTGTGTGAAGGGAGCCCTGATGAGGGTTCAGTTTGATGTCTTAATGTATATGTTATATCTCTTAGTCGTATACAATGCTGCCACTTGGATTTTGTTGTGAAAAGAGATTCTATAGGTATAAAAATATTATGGAGTTAACTAACTCTTTTTAAAAATGAATTTTTCACAAAGACTTTTCACAAACATAGCTGCTGGGGTATTTTTAAAAGTCATCCCTTTCACGGTGCAGCTGAAATCCTCCAAGTATCATAACTCGTGCCAAAGTAACTAGAATTACCAAAAAGTGGTTTCACATTGTGTCTGATTGTACAACCCTGAAATACACCTTCTCCAATTCACCCAACATTTCCCTCTTCCCTAACCACCACACACGTACATGTGCGTACTCGAGGGTGCACACACCCACACCCACAGACACTGTTAAGCATTTTACCTGGAATGGTTCTGAATTAGTCTCTGTATTAAAAATATTGCTTTGAGACATTAAATATGTTGCATTTCAAAAGAAAAAAAAAACCCGTCACACTTTTAAGTGGAACGGAGTCTGTGAATTTTACAGAGGGAAAAAATTACTTTACTTCAATATGACTGGTTACCTTTGTAACCTTATTGTTTTATGCATTTAAAAATATTAATCTGAGAAGGCTTCCCCAGATGGCCACAGAAGTCTAGGACACAAAAAGGTTAAGAGCCTGTAGTCTAGACCAAGCCCCTCATTTTACAGGGGGAAGCTGAAGCCACAGTGCTCCACTGAAGATCACAGGGGGAAGCTGTCACAGAACCAGCAGGGGAACATGTCCAGGCCTCTGGATTCTCAGGTTATCTCCACTACATCAAGCGATCAGGCTTCAAACCCAGACCCCAAGGAATTCACATCTGCTGCTCCTACCTTCAAGTCACCATGATCCCAGCTGCTGAGATCCGAGATGGAACCAGCACACAGGTGAGCCCCAATGACAATCCCACCGTAGAAAGAGGAAGTGCTTTGGACTCTGCTAAAGCATTCTGACAGCTCTCATCATCTGATCCTCAGAATAAGTCTGCGGGGCAGGGAGGGCAGAGGTCCCACTATCTCCCTGACCTCCCCCCCCACCTCCCGGACCTACCTGCTGCTGCTGGGCCCGGAGATCAGTGATTTCCTTCTGGTCCTCCTCTCGAAGCCGCTTCATGTCTTCACACGACTGCTGCAGGTGGTTCCGCTCACGGAGCAGCTGTCCATTCTCCCGCCTCAGTGTGTCCACGTCCTCTTTCAGCTGTGCCTGGTCGCTCAGGAGTCGGTTGTGAAGAGTGCTGAAAAAAAGCCCTCACAATGAGTCACAGGACACCCTGTCCCCTGCAAGACCCAATCACCCTAAAGGCCCCCATCAGCAATCCCCACCCAGATGGGAGCAAGGATAGGCTAACTACAGATGGAGGCTTCCAAGAGACGACCAAAGTCGGGTGGCCAGAACTGAGCTAGGCACATAAAAGAAATGAGCTAGGCACATAAAACCCACCCAGTCCACAAGGCAGGAGAAGCAAACCAAAAGGAAACCTAACTTCTTAAGGACACTAACTGAAAACAAAGTCTAACAGCTAGATGACACCTAAGAAAACAAAGAGCTCCAACCTGCCAGAAACTATAATCTTTAAGACCTGAGCCCTGGGCGGATACCATAGGATACCAGATGGGTGCTGCTGCTCAGACAGGAAGGGGAAATGCGGTCAAAATCCTGGAGGGAATTCTCCTAGTCTCCTCTTCTCCAAAAAGGGAGAGCAGCAATGGACTAAGGATATCCAAAGGCTTGGACAAATGCCTTAACAGTAAGGTGCAGTGGAGAGAGCTTGGAATATTTAAGCATGTGTCACAGGACCTGAGTTCAAATCCCTATTCTGCCTGTTGCATAAAGCGATGCAGACTGAAGAATAAAATAAGCAATACTGTAAAGAAAGAAGACAACTTTCAAAGACCCCAAAGAACTCTGTTCAAGGTACGGATCAACCATGATTACTGAGGGCAGATGATGAATCATGTTACCCATCTCTGGAAAGAGAGGTAAAAACGCATGCAAAGCGAAGAATAAGATGCAAATTGGAGGGCGTGGTCAATGAGGGAATTTGCTTTGCTTGACTATGCACATTTGTTATATGAGTTATGTTTTTATTTTTCTTTTTTCTTTGAGGGGACTGAGGAGAAAAAATAAATGTTAATTTTAAAATAATTTTTTCATTTTAAAAGGTAAAAATAAAAGATTTGGCAGTAAGGAGGTTACAGAGCGCTAATCTAACCGGACAACACTTACTGGTAAAAGTCAGCCTCTTTGGCGACCTCCTCACATCTCTTCAGGGTCTTGGTATGCTGGTTCTGGAGGGACTGCAGATCTGACATGGCCCTCATGCACTGAATCTTGAGCCTCTCATAGTCAGGGTTCAGCTTGTGGTATGGCCTGCCAGAGAGCGGAAAAAAAAATAAACCAAATTAACACAACCAGGACAAAGCAATGAGCCAACAGGGAGAAACAGGACCGACAATTCTAGGTTTGGTCTCTCCTATGACCTCCTTCCCCTGACTACTCCAGCCTGCTCTCATAGCCAAAAACCAACAACTGAACACGTTATTATTTAGCACCCTTTTTATTATCCATGGGGAGGCTAGGTGGTGCAGTGGATAGAGTAGTCTAGAGTCAGGAACACTCATCATCCTGAGTTCAAATATGGCCTCAGACATTTACTAGCTGTGTGGCCCTGGGCAAAGCACTTAACTCTATTTGCTTCAGTTTCCTCATCTGTTAAATGAGCTGGAGAAGGAAATGGCAAACCACTCCAGTATTTTTGCCAAGAAAATCCCAAATGGGGTCACAAAGAGTCAGATACAACTGAAAAGTGACTGAACCATAAAAATTATCCTCTAATTGTTTTCATTTGTGTTAGCATCTTCTGCCCAACTGGACTCTAAATTCCCTGAGTGTAAAAACAGTGTTTTCCTCTTCCCTTGTATCTCCTACAACACCTGGAACAAGACTGAGCACAGAATCGGCGCTTAACAAAACCTCATTGAATGGCTACTCTCAGAGAAGCCCTGCTACCCAGACCACTGCATTCTCATCGGAGAGGAAAGTTTCTCCTTTCCTGAAGAGAAGTCTTCACAGGCTAACAATCACTAGATCACTACCCTTGGAACAACACCCCAATATAAACCCATTAAGCCCAGAGTATGAAAACTGAGCAGAATTGAGAGAGACCAAGGATCATGTCATTTAAGAAGAAATAATGGTGATGATGATGATGATGATAACAATAAAAATAATGACAACACTTAAAATAACACTTTAAGGATTCCAAGTGTTTTACAAATATTATCTCATTTGATCCTCATCCCTACAAAGTAGATGATAGTATTAATGCTGTTTTGCAGATGGGGAGACTGAGGCAGACAGAAATAATAAGTGTCTGAGGAAAGATTTGAACTCAGATCTTCTTGACTCCAAGTCTAACACTCTTTATCTACTGCACCATCTAGCTACACTCCCGAAGACCAAGTGCTTGAGTCACCCCAAGGTGGTCAATTTTCACTAATTAGTCATCCCTTTGTCTTCTAGGAAGTATGGTGAGATGCAAAGGACAACAGACTTGGGATTCAAATTTGAATTTTCAGATCTTGGCTTTGATTTCACCTCTCTGGGCCTCAGTTTCCCCATCCATAAAATGAGGAAGTTGGTCTAGATGATCTGAGATTCCTTCTGCTTCTAGATCTAATGATCCCCTATCAAGAAAATAGCCAGCATCTCAGAGAAGCTAAGAATCATGTTCCCTCCCTCCTTGAATCCTATTTCCTGTAAGATAGGACTATATCCAAGCTGTTAATGCTCTCCCTCCCAAAACCATTCTGTATTTATTTTGTATACAAGGTGTCCCAAAAGTCTTAGTGCAATTTTGAGCATTAACACACTATATAAACTACCAAATAAGTATTGGTAATTTCAATAGCTTAAAACTACACTAAAAGTTCTTTATATACCCTGTATATACTCAAAGATATACATGTTGCTTCTCCCTTTAGAATGTGGGCAAGAAATATTTCTATTTTCATATTCCAGGTCAGCCAGGGTGGAGAGGAGGACATACTTAATGTATGTGTCCCTAGCTATTTACCTGCTATCTCTTCATTAGAATGCAAGCTCCTTGAGGGCAGGCACTGTTTTTGCCTTCCTTTTTATCTCCAGCACCTAGCAAAGTAACTGGCACATAGTACAGGATGATTAAATGCTCTCTCACTGACTGACTGATCCATTTGCTGTGTATATGCTGCGTACAGGGACCCACTAGTAATTTAAGATAAAAAAGCCTCTATGCTTTCCACAGCAGCCAGTTCCATGTAAGTAACCTATTGATACAGTAAAATTGAAGTTTCTGGAGGGCAAGGAGAATTTCATGCTTATCTTTGTGTCTCTAGCACCTAGCACTGTACACTGTAGACATTTAATAGACGCTTGATCAATGAATCAATGAATGAAGTAAATGAAAGAACAAAGTCAGAACAGCAAAGTAGGCAGGAGATCTGACCTGCAGTCGTCGAAAGTCGAACCAGGAGATGACAGGGCCAGACGCTTCCTCAGCTCATCCCTCTCTCGGGTGATCAACCTCAACTGAATCAGAAGAGTCTCCACTTTCTCATTGGCCTGCCTGCTGTCTGTGCTGGGGGGTGGAGGAGAGGATGCCTTTCCAGTTGTGCCTGGAGAGAAAGCAGACAAGCGTCAGAAGTGCAGCATTAATGGAGCCCCTGAAAGCAGCAGAGTCTCACGTACATGATCTCGTTTAAGTTTCCTAACAGCCCTGTGAGGTATGTACTGTGGCTATTTATTATACCAATTTTCAGAAAAAATGGGGCCTGAGAGAGATGAGAGGATTTTGTTCAGAGGCACACAGCCTCAGGTGGGATCTAAACTTGTCTTCTCGTCTCCAAATCCAGCTTTCAATCCACTGTGCCATGCTGTTCACCAGTCCAGACTGCCCTCCTTTCCCATTTCCCAATTCTGTTTTTGTCATTGACAAAGTACGGCCCCGGCCCACCTCCCTCAGGTCCCCAGATTTGGAAGAGATGGTGGAATCCACGAAGGCCAACTTGTGTGACCAAAGAGCCTTTCTACATCCCTGAGGACAAGTGGTCATTCAGACCTACTCATTTCTATATGCCCACAGGACCTAACACAATGCTTATACATAATACTCTCCAAATTATCCAATCTATCACTTTTTTACCACATTTCACACAATAAACATCTCAAATTTATCATATATAAACACACCCAACATATATAGTTATAAATAAGTTCATGTTATAAATTTTATTAATTTATTTTGATTTATCAATAATCACTTCCATATGCTTTTGAGTTTAAAATTTTTCTCCCCCTTCCTCCCCACCACCCTCCCCAAGACAGCGCACAATCTGATATAGGCTATACATTTACACTCCTATTAAACATATTTTTACATTAGTGGTGTCGTAAGTAAAAATCAAAACCAATAGGAGGAACCATCAGAAAAAGGAAACAAAGCTCAACAGAAGAGAAAAAAAAATAGTAATTCAGCTTCCATAGTTCTTTCTTTGGATGTGGACAGCATTTTCCATCACGAGGCCTCTGGAGATGCCTTAGATCCTTGAATTGCTGGGAAGGGTTAAGTTTATCAATATTAGTCATCGCACAACGTGGTTGTTATTGTGTACGACGCGTTATAATTTCTTAACATAACTATATATAACATATACCTATATAACACACAAACCCACAGTATAGAGTTGTTTCCTTGTCTCCCCATTAGACTGTGAGGACTTTCTCCTTTCTTTGCATTCTCAATGCTTAGGCACATAAACGGTGCTTAAGGTTGCTCCTCCTTTGTTTTTGAAGGGGACAAGTGACATCAGTCAATGTCTTGACTTGCATGTGACTTGGATTTAAGTGAGGCAGAGCTGCACAAAGTGGCACAAAGCCATCAGCATCACTTTCTCTTCCAGAGGCATCAAAGTCTGGTGGCAAGACAAAAGTCAGGATGGCTAGTGATGGCCCAGGATGCAGTGGATGACCTTGGTTTCTTCCCATGTCTGACCAAGCTTCAAGTGCTCTGCAGCACCTGCTTCAGGCCATTGGAACAAGTTGTTCTCCTCTGCCAGTTCTGCCAGGGGTGTTCTCGTGCCTGGGGTAGACACTCCCCCAATTCACCAATGGGTTTGAGGCCTGTTGGTTACTCTCAGCCTAGTTTAGCCTATCTGCTGGGTGTGGTGGCTGTGGAGCCACCTGTGAGAGCTGGGAGACAGGTGGACACCAAAGACGGACGAACAGCCCTGAAAAAGGCTCGGCAAGACCTCATAGCAAAGGTGCTAGTCCTCCGGAACACCCCATACGCCCCAAGTGCTTAATAAATGCTTTCTGACTTAACACTCAGCAAACTACTGAGTGAACGCTCTCCTGAGATCCAGTCTCCCAATACCAAGTGAACATTCTGAACTGATGGCCCACAGGCATCTCAAACTCAACACACCCAAAACAAAACTCATCTTCTATCCCATCACTCTTGGTACTTCCCTTTGTTTTTCAAGGGAAAGCTCATCCTTTCAGTCACACCCAGGTCTAAGAGTCACACTCCTTAGAGTCCCCTTCTAATCCACCCTTCTTCCCCAATCTTGCCAGTCCTACCTCCCAAACACTTCTCTCATCCATTCTCTAAGCACCCTTCACAAAGCTTCCACCCTCCTTAAGGCTCTCATCATCTTTCTCCTGGATGACTGTCTCCTTATACATCTCCCTCTCTCAAATCTCTCTTCCATCAAATCCATCCTCCACTGCCAAAATCTGATTGATCACCTCTCTCTTTCTCAAGGAATCATTACAGTGGTTCCCAAAAACTTCAAGGATTAAATACAAACTCCTCCATTTGGCAATTAACCTAGCCTTTCAAGCACTCAACAATCCTGTTGTTCTGTCTCTTGAATCCTGAGTTTCTTGAGTTTTCTATCCCCAACTATAACTGAAAGTTTCCTGAGGTCAGAGATCATAGCTCATGCTGCTTTGTGCAACCATCAATCAACTCACATTTATTAAGCACCTACTATGTGCGAGGCACGATACTGGACACTGGGGATAGACACAAAGACAGAAATGAAGCCAATCCTAGCTCCCAAAGAGTTTCCATTCTATTAGGATGGATGCTGTGAACACAAATAACATACAGACTGGATGCAAATAGAAGGTTGCTAAACCAAAGTAAATAGCAGCCTTAAAAAAGGATTGGGGTGGGGGGTGCAGGGAGAAAGCTAGGTGGCACAGTGGATAGAGCTCCAGCCTTGGAGTCAAGGGGGCCTGAGTTCAAATCCAACCTCAGATACTTGACACTTACTAGCTGTGTGACCTTGGGCATGTCACTTAACCCTGATTGCCTCACCAAAAAAAAAAGAAGTTAAAAAAAAAAAGATCAGGAAAAGCTTCTTTGAAGGCGGTATTTGGGCTATGTCTAAAATCGAGGACCTCCATCCGACAAAGGAGAGGAGGGAACGCCTTCCAGCCATGAGGGAAGAAAAAGGAATGCAAAGACACACTGACGGGAGATGGTATTATGTAAGAGGGACAGAAAAAAGCCCAGTTTCATATCAACTAGCACAAGGCTAGGTAAATGCTAGGGGCAGCTAGGTGGTGCAGTGGACAGAGTGCCAGGCCTGGACTCAGAAAGACTCATCTTCCTGCATTCAACTCTGGCCGCCGACACTTCCCAGCTGTGAGACCTTGAGCAAGTCACTTAACCTCTCTGCCTCAGTTTCCTCATCTGGAAAATGAGCTGGAGGAGGAAATGGCAAACCATTCCAGTATCCCTGCCAAGAAGACCCCAAATGGGGTTACGGAAAGTCAGACACAACTAAAAGGACTAAACAAAATGTGGTCATACAAATATTAAGTAGAAAAGCCAAGATTTGAACACTGGTCCTCTGGCCTTGTATGATGACTCTTTGTTATTATGAAGCCTTTCCAGACATGCCACCCCCCCCAAGAAAAAAGAGCAGGAAAATGATTCAAGTACAACAACAAACCCGTGTGGCAGCATGACACATGCTGGAGAGGGAGGGGACCAGGGCAAGTAACTCAGGGTCACATTCCCTCCGAAAGCATCCTAAGTCATACCTACACATCGTTTTACACTTTAAGACATTTTCCTCACAACAACCCCATGAAATGGGATAGTATTATTAATACTAGTATTCCCATTTTAAGGATGAAGAAACTCAAGCTTGGAGTGACTTGTTTGTGATTCCACAACATCTTCGAGCTGAGATGGATCCCAATCCATCCTTCCACCCCATAAGAGCATACCGGAGCTGGGAAGAACCTCGGCCATCACCCAACCCCCTCGTTTTACAAATGAAGAAACTGTGACGACGCAAAGAGAGGGCTGACTGACTTCGAGGCAAGTTCATCACCTTCTGGCCCTTCTACCAATTCTGTCTGTTTCAGCATGCTCTGGCTCAGAGCTCCAGATCTTTTCTCCTAAATCACCTAATCGCCCTTCCAGTTACTTGCCTTCCCTTCTCAGACAAACTAAATTTTGCCAGCAGTTTGCGTGGCTGCCAGAGCCCCACGGTAGCTCACTCTGTTCAGGTTTCACTCCGCAGACTCCCTACCTACCCATGAAGGGTAGGTCGCTGCCAGGACCTAACCTTCACCCAGGTTACTGAATTCAGTTTCATTCTTCCCCCAAATCCCCTCAACCTTCCTAAATACAAATGAAACATGTCCCAGAAGAAGTGCAGGGGCTGAGCACATGAAGATACAGGAAACAGGAGAGTACTGGTTCCTGACCCACACTCCATGCTCAGTCTTCTCCACACTGTTCCTTTGTTCCTATCCTGACAGAAAGTGATCCCAGCTACCAATTTCTCATGTCAATCATTCTGATCTTCCCCTAATCTCCATGCCTCAATGATGCCTTGGTTCCACAGGGACAGGTGAAACAAAAGACATCTTTTCACTTCTGGGAGACAAAAAGTACATACCTTACCAAAAATAGATTGAGGGCTATTGAGAGAATCCAACCCCATCATTTTGAGGATGAGAAAACCAAGGACCAGAGAAACAGAGCATCCCAACCAAGGACCCAAAGCTATTAGGAAAAGATGTGATCAAAAAAATTGGCTCATGTAGGGTACCTATTTCACCTTTTAGTAGATTAAAGGCTCTCATTCCCTCCCCTGAGTTAGGACTTTCTATGCCATCAGGGGGTCTCCAAATAAACAACTCTACAAGGAAGGGCTAACCAGCCCCCAAATCATCCATCAGGGAAGAAGCTGCCTAGAAATGTCGGTGGGAGCGGAGAGGGATACATAGAAGCATTGCTCCACTAAACATCCCTGGGACTTCCTAGGACAAAAACCTCCTTCCCTGGCCTCTCCCCTGCTGTCTCCTCCCCAGCCCATCTTTCTAGTCTTAATGGTCATTACTCTCCTCCTCCCTCTCTCTGCAATCTAGCCAAACTAGATTTCTCTGGGCTCCTCACACAACATTCCATCACCCACCTTCTTGTGTCTGCACTGGCTGTCCCACATCCTTGGAATGCACTGTCTCCTTACCTGAATCCTCTTTTTACTTTAAGATGCACCCAGCCTTCATCCAAGAGCAGCTATCTCATCATTTCCTACCTGGCTGAACTCCTATAGACCTGCAATGAGCCCTGCAGAATCTCAAGATC